GTGTGTGTGTGTGTGTGTGTGTGTGTGTGTGTGTGTGTGTGTGTGTTGGCTAACTCCTGCAGGGTGCCTGGTTGAGTATGGTTGAGTGACACTTCATTGGAGAAAACTGATTTTTCCCTTCACTAGCTGGTGCCAACTGTAAAGAGCTTCTCATGGGATCCCATGTTCCCCTTCCCCTCTCAGTGCTGAGACTGGTTAGGCTTGAGACTGCCCAGGTCTTGTGTGTACTGTTACAGTCTCTGTGAGTTCAAACGTGCACCAGTCCTATTGGATCTGGAAGACACCTCATCCTTGAAGTCACCTTTCACCTCTTGGTCTTAAAATGTTTCTGCCTCCTCTTTTAAATAGATCCCTGGGCCTTGAGAGGAGGGGCTTGGTAATATCGCCCTTAGGGTTGAGTGCTCCAAAGCCTTTCACTCTCTGCACATCTTCAGGTTCTGGGCCTCTGTGCTATTCCTCAACTACTCAAAAAGGAGCTTCTGTGATATAGCTTGAGAGAAGTACTGATCTATGGGATAGCAGTACGTCATTAGGAGTCACTTGACTGCTACGTTTCTTTAGCAGACAGTACTGGCAGGTTTTCCCCTAGGCTCATGGCTTATGTAGTCTCAGATTCTTGGCCACTTTAGCAGCTCTGGATAAGGGTTTCATCTCATGAAGTGGCCTTTAATCCAGTTGGTTACTTGTGTAACATAGGCTATTGCTGCGCCAGCATATGATGCAGGAAGATCACAGTTGTCGGGTGGAGGGGTTCTTGTTGGGTGATACTGATGTACTTTCTCATCTAGTATTGTGCAGAGTACCTTCTAGCACCATGGATGATAGTCAGCAGGGGTGAAGCTTCTAGACCAGCAACAGCTTGTAAGTCTTACGGTTGACCCTCCCCCAATGAGGTGTGTGTGGGGTTTCTTTATGGAACTCTCAAAGAAAAGAGTATTTTTCTCCTTCTCAGAGGTTCTACCAAACTTTTCACGGATTCTGATACTAATGAAATCACCATGGCAAGGAAAACAGAATAGGATTGGATTGAATCTTGAAGGCTAGCCCCTGGTGTGAAAACAGAGTTCAGAGCTGGTGTTGGAAGTCAAACCACACCAACGGTCCTCTCCAAGAACCTTCTGTGTTTTAGTGGAACATCCTCTAAAAACATCGCACATTCTCTTCTCATTTCTGTTACTTTATTTCCCCTTGTCAATACCAAATCGACTTGCCGGAAAGCCCATTTAATGGTAGATTCTCTTTAATGGAATTGTTTTTCTAAGGTTTAAGTAATTTCCTTTCAGACAGATGTAAATTATAATTAATCATTCGAAAAAGAGGCGAAGTTCCTTAACTATCTCCATTGAAAAATCTCCTGTTATTACACACCTTTGCATTTAATACAAAGTAAAAATACCAAGTTCCTTATCCAAAAGCAGATTTAGCATATGGTTGCAGGTGGGTTCTCACTTTGAAATTGAATTTAATTATAATGATTTGCCCGGGCAACAATTATCCCAACTGAAATGGGAAGAGGATAGTACTTTCCATTAAATCACAGAACCAATCAAGCAACTGAAAGCAGCAACCTTGGGGATGCAAGCTTAGACAAAATCTTAGACTTAAAAATGGCCAAAAGTCAAAGTGATAAGGCAAATGTGTTCTTTCACTCCTTGGGTTCTTTACAAGCATCTTGAAACATATTTTAAACAATTAGATAAACAATCAGTAGGTGTTCTCCCCGACACTAGGGATCAAATCTATGGCCTCAAATATGGTAGGTATGCATGCTACACTGAGCCCCAGCAGCAAGGAACTGCAGACCAGAAATAGAGCAACGGCCTGTCTTTTTATTTGAGACAGTTCCCATGGCTCAGGCCAAGGGACAGTGAGATGTGATAGGAAGTTTTTCTTCTTAATTCTAGCTACATTTTTATTTATCGTGTGCACGTGTGCATAGGCGTATATATATGTGCGTGTTTGGGTGTGTGTGTGCCTGTGCGCTTACATCTGTGCTTACGTCTGCACATGTGTGCATGTGGAAGGCAGAAGACATTTTATGAGGGTTGTATTTCTCCTTCTACCACGTGGGCCTCAGGGATCAAATCCAGGTAGTTAGGCTTGGGGGCAGGCACCTTCCCCTGCCTCCTGTCTTGTCAGCCCCTTGAAAATCGACAGGAAAGCTGATGTAAATTAGGAGCATGGGAGTTTTAAGGATAATTTCTAATGTTTTCTTCTTAAATCTCTCTCTCTCTCTTGTCTCTCAGATTTATAAGCTCTCCTAAGGCGACAGCCTTACTCCCTCTGTTTATGAAAAGAGCATTTCATTGGATCTGACAAAGAGCAGGCAAGTATGAGCAAGTCTGTCCTCCTTAGAGTGTGTTCATCAAACCGTACTAGACAGGAGCCCCTGTCTTCAGTGGGATGCAGGCTAAATAGCTCCCAGGTTATTATTGTCTGGTTACTGAGCAATCATGAAGTTTGGCCGGTTCCCCTCCTCCTATTAATCTCCTTGCATAATACCCAGTGGTCCAACCAGCTGGTCTCCCTGCTGCATTCTTTCCTGTCCCATTTCCTTACCCAACACTTTCGTCTGCCACAGGTCTCGCATTGTGGGGTCTCATCTCTATGCGCTCAATCTCCCGATTCTTTCTCTCACAGCTTCTATTCCTCTATCACGTTCCCCACCCCATCATCATAATTGTTCTGGAACCTTGGCAAATGGAACAAACATTGAAAAATGTTAATGACTGCAATGGAAACAGCTGGTTCCTCCGAGCTGGCAGTGAATAGTACTTGTGAAAGAAGAAACTGGAAGGGAAGAGTTTAAATAGCAAATCTTCCACCTTCCTTGGCATCTTCCCAAAGCATTACCTTTTATCTCTTGTGTTTATCAAAACTGTAGCTCCAGGCATCATAGCACATGCTAATCATGGCAGCCTGGAAGCTTGTAAGTTCAAGGCCATCCTGGAAAACATAGCAACACTCTATCTCAAAAAAGAAAAAAAAAAAGTGAAAGCCAAACAAAAGATAAGTAGAAAAAGAGAGTTATATCCTGAAACCATTGCTCCCCAACCTGTAGGCGGTGACCCCTTTGGGGAATGAATGATCCTTTCACAGGGGTTGTCTAAGATTATTTGAAAATATAGATATTTATAATATAATTCATAGCAATAGCAAAAATATAGTTATGAGGTAGCACCGAAAACAGTTCTATGGTTGGGGGTCACCACAACACGAGGAAGTGTATTAAAGGGTCTCAGCATTAGGAAGGCTGAGAGCCGCTGCTACCCTGTCTCTGAAGTGGAGACTGTTCGGTGTTAGGCTTTGTTTCCATGCCTAATGTGGAAGTTTTTAAGGGTAGTAAAAGTGAAAATGCATGAGAATCCAAACACGAAGTTGCTTGGGAGATTTCTAGCATTTTGTTTTCAATCGCTGTTGGACAGGCCCGTCCTTGGAACAGAACAAGTATCACCATCATAAGAGCTGCTGAGTCTGCTTGCCTACGATCATTGTAGCCTGCTTTGTTGGCAGCTGCCATTCTTTCCTAGGAGGGCGCTGGGGAGGGTCTAGGCCTCTCTTCCAAGCCATTTTATGCAGTTCTGTTCTAATTGCATATGGTCTGGGTAGAGGCTGGATAAAGGTAGGGGAGGTTAACTGAGAGGGGTCCCATCTATGCAGTTATAGGGGAACCATCATTATGACAGGTTGAGTGAAGGCTTTTCAGAGCAATGCTTTGGGGGTCAATCAATGCCCCTCACAGTGCCCTGTAAGGAGCCCAACACATCCATGGGTTTCCCAGAGTCAGCTTTGGCTTGTTGTTGGGACCTTAGAAGGAGGAGGTAGGCATTATTTAGTCTCCCCAAGGGAAGGAATTTTGGCAGTGAAATAGTTTGTAGTCACCCTTTCTATTTCTTTTTGATCCCATTCTATAAAATTTTTGCAAATTAGTTTATTCAGGATCCCACTAGGAAATATGCAATATGTTTAAAATAGGAAAACTTGAGGAGAGCTCATTAAAGAGACTCTTTACAAAGGTGTGGGAAGTGTGGCTGTGAGCCATAACAGAAGGTCCAGGGGTCAGGGCAGGGCTGGCGAGGAATGACGATGGAGACAGTG